TTAAGGCAACCTGAGCTATTAATTAGGCCAATAACTTGTGTTAATTCGAAAATAATGATCAAGCCTTGAAAGTAAATTATAAAAGAGCTTCAGTGGAAACGACTCATTCCTGTCGTTGTTGTTTTGAGTTGCCCCTTTATTTAAACTTGTTTACAATTACCAGGCGAAACATATTCAGGAAAAAGCACCCTTTTGAATCTGATTCTTGGAGAGCAACTTCTTCCTTACTCCGTTCTCAGTACCACATCCACCATCGTTGAACTTAGATATGGAGATACACCAAAGTTGGTAGTGCACTACAAAAACCAAGAATCTGGTAATACCACGGAGACTGTCCTACTAAACAAGCCATCTGAAGCCTCCGAGCAGAGTTATCTTCAACAGATTTCATCTTTTGTTCACCTGAAGGAGAACAGAGAGGGGGGTTCAAAGTACAAAAAGATTGAGCTGTTTTGGCCACACAATCTGTTGAAGGTAGTTATAAGAAATAAGCCAAGATCAGTAATCATTTAAAGTAATAGAGATCGATTTAAATCTGAAAATTGATCTTTATGCCAGCAAGCTTGTGAATGTTCTCTGCACCATGCCTGAGTGTCTGATTCCATTGTATCAAGTGTTTGTTTATGAGCCCCCTCTACCGGTTTAAATTGATGTTACGGACGTTTTGAGTGTCCAAATAACAGTCCATAGTTCGCTGTTCAGCTCCCATTTTGCGTAGTGATTACTTGTTTTTTTTCGCCACAAGCGCTGATTTAAGATGTGATTGTTAATTGTTAAATGTTTTCTTACATTGCTTTTAATGTATCCTTTCCAGAATCATTAAAATATATAAAACGGCAAATGAACACTTAACCAGATACAGAGCTCAAACAGGCTTAACCACATTCCTCTCAAAATCAAAGTGAAATTCGATACTGATGAAAAAACCAACTCTGTATGTCAAAATGTTAATTAAAACGAACAAACATACAAACTGGATCAATTTTCAGATTAATGCTGGAGGTTATCTGGAGTTCTTCACTTTGCTTTGCTTCTCTCTATGATTGGTCCAGAGTATTCGCGCCAATCAATCATATTCAAAACTAAAATCAATTGCAACTTGATCACTCGCCTTTTCCCCTGCCAAGAGTCTGTTTGTTTACACTTCGACTTCGCATTGGCTGTTGTGATATTTTCTCATTCTCTGATTGGCTGATGTAGTTACTCTAGGTTTCTTCCCGGAAAATCAATCGAGATGTACTCTGAAGGGCGATACTCAGACCACTGTTTTGTACTATATGTTGTTCCTTGTCATCTTTTACGTGTCTTTTAGGAAGATATTGTAATAGTTGACAGCCCAGGTATCGGTGAATCTGCCATCATGGATGACATAGTAAAAGCATACCTACCAGAGGCTTTTGCTTTTATTTACGTCATCAACAGTGTAAACGCTGGTGGAATACAGAAAGACAGGGTAAGACCATGAACAGTTGAGGAGTACGAAGTATGCTGCCAAAAACTATATAATTTTTTGTCTCAGCGATTGGCTTACTTTCAAGAACAACTTGATAGTTTAAAAGGACCATAAAGAAATACCAAAAGAAAAAAAATCAACTTTCCAGTTTTCAAAAAGTAGAATTTTACACATCAGCAGGGTAGTGTTGAGTAGTGGTAGGGCGCGAAGATAGGGAAGGTTGGCATTTGGCGCACATCTTTGTCCGTACGGTTTGGTTAGAAAACAATGAAAATACGCTGGGATCTCGCCAAGGAAAAGGAGATTTCAAACGGAACATGATTTTGATGTCGAACAACAAGACAGAAACAGGGAAATGACGCCTTCAAGTTTCAAACGCTTTGCAGAAAGTGGAAACGGAAGCACCTAGAACTTCAAAAACATGATCAGCTACGACACAGCGATCAGGTGACCCATAAATTTCCAAATATTAAAGTTTATTCAATCTGAATTTTTGCCTCTAGGTAGAAAAACTCTTTGAACACGCCAGACAGGTGTCCCTTGACAAACAAAGAGAATCTTCCTCGAATTGTGCTCTGTTCGTTTGTAACAAGTGGGAGCAGGTGCCGTCAGGAGAAACTGATGAAGTGAGGAACCACATTGTGAGAAAACTCGCACAGTGCTGGCCTAGTTTAGATTCAGAATCTCAGATTATTTACATGTCAGCCACAGATGCAATCAAAGCCCAGGAGTTTGGAGCGGTTACGAAAGAGTTTGGTGAACTCATGAATGGTATCAAGTCCATGGTGTTGAAAAGTATTGAGTCAAGATTACAAATTCAGTGGAGGTAGCTTGCTTTACATCCTTAATAACAAAAATAATTGTTTGAGAACTTGACTTGCTTGTGATAAAAATGTTTTCGTAGTTCTAACAATGTACATGACAAGTCATGTAGCTTATAAAAAAAAAGTAATGACTTGATTTTTCTCTGGAAATTTGGAAAAGTAAGCAATAGTAGATATTTTACAAAGGCTTCAAATTGCATACACCCTACGGGCTTGAAAAAGAAGTCAAAGGGGTCAGGATATTTAATCGGTGGCTGCGATTCAGAATAAGAGACGTTTTCCATAGGGGTAGCGAGTAAGTTTTGGACAAAGTGTAGTTGGCAATTAACGCTTGCAGTCAATGTGANTAGTAAGAATTAAAATTTCGAAACCTCCCTGAAAGATATTCATGAACAAATAGATATCATAAATAAGCATGGAAATAAAATGGAAGACAAATACAATTATGGCTTTATTCTTAGGTGGCTTGACTACCTCCTTGCACGTATTGCCTACCACACGAAAGCGTTCATGCGTAATTCTTCCGAAGATCGTGAAAATGTGATAGCAAGAATGAAGTTGATCACTGACCGCCTTCATAGCATCGAAAGGCAGCAAGGTAGCGTAAAAAAGGAGCTGGAGACGTTCCTCGAAAACCGGACAAACAATGCTCTGAGTGCACTGTCCAAATATCTTAAGTCTCCAGAATTTAAGGAGAAGTTTTCTTCGTGGACATTAGACGATGTTCCAAATACTGAAGAAAGCTGGGAGGTGACCAAGAACTACATCCAGAAGGCGCTGCTGAGGCGACTTCAAGAGAGGATCGAGGAATGGGAAGAAAAGAATCATGTCTTTTCCGATGCTCGTTCTTCTTTGATTCGATACTTTCAAGAGAGGTTCAGCTACGTCGAGGGTCAACTTCGAACGCTGGAGAGTTCCGTCCTAGCTGGGAATGCTGCCAGCTCAGTAAGTGGCCCTCTGGCATCAGAAGACTTTAGCGTCGCAGAAAAAGTCCTCATCGGGGTTACAAGTCCAATTTGGGTTCCAGTCGGTCTGGTTGTCCTAGTGGTCAGTGTCCCAGTAGTTGGCGCGTTACCCGTTAAAGAGAAGTTGGAAGACTGGAATAGAACACGAAAGTACGAAAAAGACAAGTGTGGCTACATGGCAAAAGCTTCCCAAGAATATCTAAAGGAAGCAGCTGAAGAACAACATTTAAAGTCATTCGTGGAGGAACAGCTTAAAGAAGCTCAGGTTTGTCTACACCAGGTCTTACATCGGATACCTCAGCTCATAGATGAGGACAAGATGTTGTGTAAACAACTGAGAGAAGAAAACCGCTCTAAGAAAGAGATAGAGGATTTCTACGAACCGTTACACGATAAGAGTGTACAATTAAGAGATGAGATGGCCCTGTTTGGCATCAAAGAGGTCCGTATCATGGACATCAGTTGCAACGATCTGGAGTGGCAGGACGATGCACGTCTTGGAACTGGAGCGTTCGCTACTGTTTATCGAGGAACATTGAAGATACGAGGAGACGATAAACCAGTAGATGTGGCAGTGAAAGTGTGGAACGAGGAGCTTAACGATGCTACAGCTAGTGGCTTCCTTTCTGAAACAGAAATACTCAGGTTGGTTTTCTTACCACTGGATCTTGAAATTTTACAGGTTATTGTCTTTTTAAAAAAAGAATGCCCCTCAGCTAAAATCTTTACGAAGCACTTAATATATTCTGACTGGTAGCTAATTGGATATTTTCCTAATTGTATCATTGTTTTCTTCTCAAGGAGCTCGTAGTGGTGGGTTGCAAGGCATAAACTAAAAAATGGATATTTTAATAAGAAGATTTATGAATTATGTAAATTAAGTAATATTTTCCTAACGACTTCGGAAGACAGCGAATCTAGGTACGTATTAAGGCACATCGAGATGGTAATTGAGATTGACCTTTCCAGTAAGACTTCTCACCATTCATTTCACCGACAGGTCTTTCCCTTTAAAACCCCTGAGTCACATATTAAGAGTGAAAAGCATCTAATTCTCCCTTGCATCACCGCTGAATAAACCAGAGAATAAGGGAAATGATTGCCAACAGAAAAAGCTTTTGACTGAGAATCAAAATCTTCCTTTTAGTATCGGAAAACGTGTAGAGAATAGTATAGAAAATATTCCTACTGTTTTTTGAAAGAGTATGGGTTGTCTTACAAATACGTATTTTCTTTTTGTAGGAAACTGAGTTATCCCTTTATTGTAAAGTTCTATGGTGCTGCACTGCGTAAGGAAGGGAATCAGCTGAAAGCAATACTGGTGATGGAGCTCTGCAAGGAAAACTTGATGAAGCACATTTTCGATGATAAAAGCAACATACCTGGTGAGTCATCATCATCTGTTACAGCTACAAGGGATGTGATTGGATGGGCAAAACAAATTTCCGATGCCCTGGAATACATTCACAGACAAGGTATCGTTCACAGAGATCTCAAGCTGGAAAATATATTGGTAAGTTAAGAATTGGAACTACTGGCTATCGTGACCGCACATCATATCCCGTGTTCTTGACTTTGTCCTCCTTGTGTTATTTTTCCATTCAATTCCTGTTCTTTGAAGAGTCAGCATTAAGTTGATTATTTTCCACGTAAAAC